TAAAAAGTAATAATTTTTTCATTAAATTAGAAAGGATCATTTTGTTTTTGAAGTTTTTATTCTATTTTTGTAATAAAACACTGTGGCCCCAAGGAAAAAAATTTTTTTTCTAGTATAGCAGTCAATGTGTTAAAAGAAGAGGAATGTGGAGGTATCTTGGGGCTTGTTCTGGCAACATGGAGAAAGTCCCCTGTGGCAGGAAGGACTAAACCAACCCAAGAAAAGCAGGGAGCAAAAGCAGACAGACAGATACATCTAATGATGCTCTGGTCTGGAGACTCAGTCCACCCTGAGATAAGCTTCACCACTCTGTGTGGTTTGGCTTGAGAGCCAATAAACTTCCCCTCATAAGATAGCTTAAGTTGGAAATGTCTTACTTGCAAAACAATACTGACTGATGAAGGAAGGATAACCAAAAAGGTAAATAACTACACAGCTTTCTGGAGTTAAAAGCTGAGACTTAATACTTCTTAACTTCTTAACCTGTGCAACCTTGGACAGGCTACTACTCTGAAATGCCCCATGTGTACTTCAGGATGTACACACATACGCATACACACACACACACACACACACTAACATAGCTGAACTTTACTAAAAAGGTGGAGAATTTAAAGTTCCCAACTATTTATAACGGACAACAGTTATCAATCAAGGTCATTACTCAGGCTTGTTTCTCAATTAAATTACTAAATGAATCCCACTGTTGGCTCATATTTAGAAGTCATTAAACATATTCATTAGTTCTCTTGTTGGCCACTGACTCCTTAAAGGCAATAACCAAGAACCAAAATCTATATCATATAGTTCTTCCTCACTTCTGTAAGCTAAGTTCACTATTTTACTATCTCCATACAATGTTGCTAGTGCTTTTCTTCTCTTTCAAATTGAGGAGTATTTCTAAGCCATCCTTCTCTTACATAGTCATCTCCTGAAAATAAGACCTCAATCTCTCATAATTTTATCTGCACAATCACAATACAATCCTATGGCTCATTATATTGTTTAAAGGAATACGTAAGTGTCAATTATCTTTGAATCCTTGTAACTTCAGGCTCCTATTAAGATGCCTTCCAAAAGATAAATAATTTCTTTTTCTTGGAAACAAGAAACTAGAAATATGAAAGTAAAGTATTTTGTTCAACTGCTCACTATTGATTAAAGACAATTCTGGTTTCTGCCCTGTTGTCATTCTTCTTGCATTAACTATTCCTCCAAGTTAATAACTGAAAACTACATTGTACCAATAGGAACTTTCAAATTATTCATGACTACAATAGCTATAATAATACAAAATGACATTTAAAATTAGATATTAAAGGACTTTAAAGATCTTAAGTGGGAGAAGGTGCATGGGCAAATATGTAACCTTAACATTTGTACCCCCATAACATGCTGAAATAAAAAAGAAAAGAAAAAAAAGAGAAAAATCTCAAGTAAACCATATATAGAATAATTTATTTAAAAATACCTGATATTTAATTAGAATTTATATATACATTTATAATAACTTAAAATTATAGCTGTGCACAGTGGCTTGCAACTATAATCCCAACTACCCAGAGTGAGGTGGGAGGTGGATCACTTGAAGAGTTTGAGATCAGCCTGGGCAAAACAGCAAAAAACCTTTTCTAAAAATAAAGTAAAAAAAAATTGGCTAGGCATGGTGATGTACATCCATAGTCCCATCTACTTGGGAGGCTGAGGCAAGAGCATCACTTAAGCCCAGGAGTTCAAGGCTACAATGAGCTATAATCATGTCACTGCACTCCAGCTGGGGGGACAGAGCAAGACCCTTTAAAAAAAAATTTTTTTTTATTTTCTCCTGTAAATTTCACATCTGTTATTAAAGCTCATGTTAAAACAGTACACGAACCAAGTAACAGCCTTTGGGGCTAGTGTTCAGTAATCAAAATAAAAATATAAAAATGTTACAATTTTCCAGTGGGGAAAAGTGATTCTAAATTGAGTTACTACCAAACAAATAAGAGGAAGGTGAATGTTCCTTGTTTTTTATTTACAGTGAGACTGCCCATCAAGAGCTGGATACTACTGATTGACAGTCACAAAATCAAAGAATGTTAAAATATCAAAACTTTAAAAAATCATCTAATCTAAAACCTCTTAACCCAGGTTTCAAGACAGATGTGACATTTTGTGTTTATGTACATTATATACATTTTTCTCAAAATAAGATCCTTAGCTTTTATCACAATTTCAAAGGGATCCATAATTGAAAAGAGAACCATTATCTAGTCAATATAGAGATGTGGAAATTGAGGCTCAAAGAAATAGTTATTTGCCCATATTTAAATAATCAGCAAGTACAGCTACCGTACTACTCAAGTGTTATTTTCACTGCAGCATAAACACTTCTAAAAGGATTTTTTTCTAAGCATATATTTAAGAGAAAAACAAATCTGAATGACTTCAGAGTAGTAAGGGAACACTCAGGTTAATGATAAAAGGAAATACTAATGGCAGGATGAAGCATGACTTCAGAAAAATTCATTCAATATGGAGCAGAAAGAGCAGGGTCATTTCCAAGAAACTGATAGAATACCTAAACATCACTGATTGCAACAAAAGTTTCACTGTTCTACCAAAGATTCTGAAGAATTAAAAAAAAAAAAAACTAGCAAAAGGGAAAAAGAGTCTGTATATATGGTAGTATGTAACATGGCACAGCTCTACACAAACATAATAACGTAAGCATAAAATGAATACTGATTTGACCAAAATTTTTAGTCACTGAGAGGATAGAGGAAGGAGGCTTAGGAGGAACTTATAAAAAGCTAAATCCTAATCATAGGGTCAAAAGTCAACAAGTAACATCTACAATGAAATGACCAAGAAAAGCCAAGATAAGCACATTTAAAAACATGAAGTAAATATCATAAAAAATAAAGTGTTTTTCAAAAGGGCATGTTTGCATTCTGAGCAGGGCAATTACTTGTTATATGGGGCTGTTTTCGAGCACAGTTCAGCAAACCAAGACCTGTGGGCCAAATCTAGATCATTGCCTGCTTTTGTAAATTCAGCTTTTTTGGAACACAGCCAGGGCCATTCATTTTACATATTGTCTATGGCTGCTTTTGTGCTACAATGATAGTGTTGAATAATTGCAGGAGAGACCCATGGCCCTCGAAGCCTAAAATATTTACTATGTGGCCCTTTATAGAAAAAGAGTGCCCACCCCAGTTTAGAGCACTGTATGACATTTAGTACCTCTGACTCTTACCCATAAATGCTACTATCCCCCCAAAAGTAATTATGAAAACTAAAACCTCACATCCCACATATGCAGTCCCCCTCCCCAACTTCCTAGCAGGGATAAGAAGTGACAGAACTTTGGTTTCAGAACTACTGAGCTATAGGGTTTTAAATGATTGCCTCTGGGGAGCAGAAAGAACTCAGAGACTGGGTGAGGACAAGGAAGGGTTGTACCAGGTGCTGCTTTTTTTTTCTTTTTTCAATAAGCTTTGAAACACTAATCTTTCAAAGTATTCACATGTATTTCTTCAAAAAAATTTAAAAACAAAAGAAGACACAAATTAAACTTAATAGTTCTTAGCAACTGTCTAACAAAATATGTGATTGCATTTGCTGGTATATTTTATAACATGTGTTATGGTTGCTCTGGAAAATTTTTTGTTTACATACATCCAAAGCTGCTAAGTAAATGACCCTCAGATAACAGAGGTGTTACTGTGCTAACTTAATATAATATTTCAAACCCTCCGATCCCAAGAAAGGTCAACCAAGTATGTTCTATAAATGATCTTCAGTGAAGTCTGAAATATTTAATATAAGAAGCCAAAAAGAGAAAATGTTTGATAAACATTACTTCCACAAGTAGAAATTAGGAAATGAGAAAAAATTTCAAAGATAAATGTAAGAAATTTAATTTTTTTTAGTTTTTTTTAATTCAGAATTTTCTTTCATTTAGCTCTTTAGACAAGCAGTCTGGTTTTTAAGTTGATTAGAAAGTTAAACATAAAGGTGACACTAATATAGAACTACAAAAGATTGTATTAATAGTATGTCAGCATCAATACTTCCAATTAAGTACCTTATGTGAAAAATGTATTACGTATCTGTGGCATGGTCTACCCAGAAAATAAATAACACATACAAAGACCATATTCTTAGGTTTGTCTAACCTTTAAGGTGTTTTAATTATCACCTATTTTCAATTTAACTAAATTAAAAATTGTCTGGTTTTCTCCTATATTGGAAAAGCTTTATATTTTGTTAATAGAGACTTGAAAAATAAGGCATCAAATGTTTTAAAAGGTGAAAACAAACATAATTCACTACATACTCAAAAAAATCTAAGATACTACATAAAACAACATACATTTTAAAGAACTATACTTTAGGAGTATAGTTTATTGTATTTTTTTAAAAGGCATATATTCTTTCGAACTTTATAAAGAAAAACATTACACTGGTAAAGCTTATTTCAAAATATATAGGATGACATAAGTAGTTTAGTTATAACAATTCTAAAACATCAAAATAAGCATTTTTACTATTTCAGTTTATAAAATACAGTCACCAATGGTTTATTTTACTGAAAAGATTCACCTATTGAATTGTAAGTTACAAAAAACAGGTTAAAAACTGTTGATATAAAATCATAAAGTTCTGCTAACCTTTCTTTTAAAAAAATTAAAGAAAAATGTAAACACTTTTATAAAATGCTAATATATCTATAATCTTGGAGATTTGGTTTATATTATAACTGACCATAATTAATCTAGATACTTTGATATTATAGAATAAAAAGTAAAAAAATATTTTTAAGCATCACCTTTCTAATTTATTTAGAGGTCAAATAAACATAAGGAAAACCAAAATAATCTTCCCCTTCCACTAAAAGTCCTAAAATCTATTTTGTCATTATTTTAGGCAATATTTGACATAAATCCATAGCACAAACATGCATTTTTGTAATTAAACATTTTAAAAGTTAAAAGTTTTGACTATCAACTTACCTTTTTTTGATACCAGACTATAGCATCTGTGACTTTGGACGCCATTTATTCCACTGAAATCACACATTAGTCATTTTAGGCTGTGCAAGAGAGAAAAACACACAAACACTTTACTTCCACCTTTCAAAGGGAGACTGAACAGCATGCATAGGTAACACTCTGGTTACTTGCAGAGCAAAGGGTGTATGACTATACTTATATTACACCCTTCCTCATTACTATTTTAGTAACAGGTCCTCTTAAGTAAACAAAAATCAGTTGCCATAATAAAAGAAGGTTCTTTTAGCATGACTGTAACACGTGAATTTTCTTACAAAATAGGTTGAATTTTTTTAAAAATAAATCTTTTAAATATATTTGAGAATATATTTGAGAATTTCCCAGGTTATACTAAAAATTTTTCATTTATAAATTCACATATAATAGAAACCAATTCATTCACTCAGTGACAGACCAGTTTTCCTGTAGTTTTAGGAACTAGTGTCAATTACTATTGCTAGAAGATGGCTTCATAGAGATGCTAAAATTTATAACTGTATTTAATTTTCCCTGACACTCAGTAAACACAAAACTAAACTACAATCAAATAACCCAAGAATCCTAAAATTTATTTTAAATACTAAGCCAATATTAGTGAGTAACAATAATACTTAATATTAAGGACTTCCCAGATATCAGTTTGCTAATATTTGGAAATACACCAAAAGTCATTTTATAAGCATCTTTCTTGTGTTTGTCTAAGAGTAATTGGGTACTAAACTTACAGATTTCTTAGCCCTAGAGAGAATTCCAGACTAATTCCAATTAACTATAAAATACTTTTCTAGTCATAAGATGACATAAGAAGTCAATAGAAGGCACCACTGGTCTAGTGTTAAGAATGAACCTAAAACAGCTTTAAAAGCTGATACTGTCCCTAGAACTTGTTACAAATAAGGATCATCTAAGGCCAGACAGGATCTCAGGGAAATCCTGGAGTAAAGAACCCTGCTGAGCCAATCCTTGCACATGCAGATCTTCAACATTAGAAAAGCTACCACTACAATTTGCCACAGTAAACAGAATACCAGACATGTTATATACCATTTTGGGGAGCATGTATGATTCTTGAGCATATTAGTATTCAAACATAATTAAAATCATTAGCAAGTTCAAATGTTCAGATAACTAACTTCTAAAATTTAAAGTAGAATCTACTTAAGGCCTGTATTTTTGACAGTGTTATAACCAAATTATTTTATTACCTTTCCTAATATATTAATGATTCTGTCTTTAATGGATTAAATTCAAGCAAACTATGTTTGGAATTCTTGAAAAATACCCTGACATAATGGAAAGAGGAGAATAGAGTCAAAAGACCTGGCTTCAAATATTGGCTCTGTTATCTATTATATAATATTAAAGAAGTTACTTAATCTCTCTGAATCTTGGTATCTTTCACTTGTAAAATAGGAATACCTGTACCTACTCATCCCTTACAGGATTTTTCTGACCAATTAAAAATATACATAAAATGCCTACCACAGTCCAGGACATGTAGTATTCAATTCAATTCTAATTATTTGTATTATTTTTATATCAAAAAATTTCTCAATCTAGGAACTGGGAAGTATTTATATTTCCTTTTTTAAACATGGCAAACAGTTTAGAGAGGAATACACGCAATCAGGTTTTGTTGATACTCAAAATAAAAATAGTTACTTGATTATCTTAAAATCACAATATCAACTCTCAAATATATACACATGGATTATTTAGACATTTCAAAGTTCACCTTCACTTAAATTTCTCAGTCAGGTGTGGCCACCTTCATTTCTCTCACTGGGGTTTTTTTGGATGCTTCCCCTGACTGACCTAAAACCTCTCATTTTGGTTTTTCTGTTCTGGAAAGCTCTGGGTATGATTAACCACATTTCATCTTAGAGGTTTTCCTCATTGATTTTGAAGGAGATTATTCATTACAACACTATATCGTCTTTATATTTGTTTGTCAAGACAATTTTGTATGTTTCTCAAATTGATTATAACCCACGTGTCCCATGCAAACTATGAAAAATGGTACAAAAATATGAGAATATCAATTTTTCACTTTACCTCCCTTTTACTTTACCCAATCTTTTTTTTTTATTTCAGCATATGATGGGGGTACAAATGTTAAGGTTACATACATTGCCCTTGTCCTGCCCCCTCGAGTCAGAGCTTCAAGCATGTCCATCCCCCAGACGGTGAGCATCACATCCATTATGTATGTATATACGCATTCCCTCCTCCTCCCTATTTTACCCAATCTTTATTGATAAAAATTCCAGGTCAGGCGTGGTGGCTCATGCCTGTAATCCTAACTCTCTGGGAGGCCGAGGCGGGTGGATTGCTCCAGGTCAGGAGTTCGAAACCAGCCTGGGCAAGAGCAAGACCCCATCTCTACTATAAATAGAAAGAAATTAATTGGCAAACTAATATATATAGAAAAAATTAGCCAGGCATGGTGGTACATGCCTGTAGTCCCAGCTACTCGGGAGGCTGAGGCAGTAGGATCACTTGAGCCCAGGAATTTGAGGTTGCTGTGAGCTAGGCTGACGCCATGGCACTCTTGCCCGGGCAACAAAAGTGAGACTCTGTCTCAAAAAAAAAAAAATTCCAGATTATCTACCAAGATAAAGATCCTCTCTCTCAACCTCCAAGAGTATAAATAATATACATTTCATATAAAAAATGTGAAAAGATTTTTTATCACCCACTCTATTAAATGTATGATACAGTTAATATGTTTAGGAAATATTTAAATGGTCATATACAAATAATAGTGTTTTCTGCTTAAAGAAAAAGTTCCAATGAAAATGAAGAAAACACTGACTGCCTCATAATAAAATGATCCAAAAGACTTTCAAAAACATATATTTTGGTTTACCAAGCTACACTTAAAAATAAATTTCAAAAATCTAAAAGTACACTAGATATGTAAAATGTTCTAAATATTTTTAATTATATTTATCTGGTTGTGCAGAAATAAAAATTCAATCAATTTTCTGTTTTTTAAAAAATCTTTCTCCAGTAATGGTAAGGTTTGCTCTACAAATCATTTCATGGTTTTTCCATTCTGTCAACAACCTTTCAGCGACACTGAATGGCTCATACCTATTTTTAAAACAGGTTTTACAACATGTTGAAGATAGATTTCTGAACCAGACATCTGACAAAGCACACTCAGAGATACCCAAATTACACATGAGTATAAACAAGAAGTAACTCCAATAGAGAAGGGGCATTACAAGGTGTGTTTGACTTCCCTTCTCCTCATGGCCAGCAACTCAGTTTTAAAGTTTTTCCTGGGATCTCCTTGGCCAGAGGAAGTTCATTCAGTTGGCTGGGAGGCTTAAGATTTTATTTTAATTCACACTCTTATTCCCCTTCTATCCTTTGCTCCACTCATCCATCCTTCTGAATCAATTCAAATCCTACTTCTTCTAAGATGAGGCTTCCTTACAAGTGCTCATCTGGACTAAAAAATGTTGAAGCTTGATGTCTCTTTTCCAGCATTGATCTGCATTGTATAAATCTGTCATTTAAATAAAAATGCAAAGCAATAGAGCCATATAGGTCACTCCAGGAAAACACTCCAGGAAAAAAAGGGCATCATTCTTCTTGTCTCAGTAAGTACTCAGGGCACTGTAATACATGCAGATGAAGTAGAGCAGAGAAAAAGCAATGATTAAGCATCAGGAAGATTGGTTTCTATACTCAAGTTCTAATACTAAGAGCTGTGTGCCACTGAATAAGTTACAGAGTTCTCTGGACCTCAGTTTGTCACCACTGCCATCTAGCCAAATATTCCACAACTCAATAAAGGTGATTCCAATGATGTACAGGAGTTCCTCTGCATTCCTTTACTAGCAGACCCCAAAACAAGGAAGATTTTTGACCAGGCCTCTTAAATTCCATTTTCTCCCCAAGTGTATACACATAAACACACAAACATACTCTTTCCTACCATTAAAAGGTAAAAAGTTATCGTAAAATATAATAAATATGGCTGATTTATTTACTGACATACCACTAAATCAACCAATATATAACTTTTGCAAATCTAAAGGTCCAATGAATATGAGTTAAAGGCAAGTCTGTCAAAACTAGTCTAACTCCATTCCTAAATACTAAAGTTAAATATAACTCAGTTGCCTCCTCCACAGCTAAAGCAAGGAATTTTTAGACCTTGGAAATTGGGAACAAAGCTGCTCTGCCCTTAAAAGGGTAATAAATGCCAAGGTTCAAATCAAATTTTTCATACTGATACTGAAGCTAAACAAAAAGAATGCAACCTTCTACTAGTTTCAAGTATGCTACTTTGTATCATGTGACCTATAAATTACCACAATTTCTTGAGAAGATTTTAATTATTCATCTGTAATGAGGATAATATTTCATAGAAATGTTGTGAAAAATAAACACATACTATATGCTCAAAGTTGTTTCAATCTTAGGATAGAAAAACAAGGATTTTTGTATTGAGGAAGTGTCAAGAAGGAAACAAACAAGGAGATATGAATGGGATATGATGGGATACTTTTGGAAAGGATAGTCAAAGAATTCTTCCCTGAGAACTGAGAACTGAAGGATGAGAAGAACCAGCTATGCTAAGTATTGAGGGAAGAACATTCTAGGCAGCAGAAATGGCAAACACAAAGACCTTGGGACAGAGATGACAGTGGTTCAAGATGAAGTCTGAGAGGGAAATAGGAGACATGCATCATAGATGCCATAGCAAGTAATTTTATTATAAATAAAACAGAAAATAATTCCATGGATCACTTTAATGAAATGATAGGAATAAATTTTATCACCTAAGAAAAGTATAATTAGAAAACGAAAAGGTCCAGCCGCAAGTCCCCTACTACTCACAGAAAAGGTGGATTCAGAGAGGCCAAGAACTGAAAGAAAGCAAGTGAATGTGATGTTACAGAATCTGACAGAGAGAAGAGTACTTCACAAAGAATTAAGAAGGCTGCTAGAAGATCCCTGGCTTTAACAAAACTCAAAAGGCATTGAGGAGATGTAAGACAGATTGGAATGAAAAGATGAAATGGCAGGTAATAAACATGACAAATATAAAAAAAAATTGACAACATAAAAATGTAGCACTTCTATCAAAAATATTATAAACAATGTTAAAGGACAAGTAACTGATAGGACAAAAATATCTGCAATTGATAACAAAGGATTACTATCTGAAACGTTTAAAGAATTCCTACAAATCAGTAAGAAAATGACAAAACCAATAGAAAACTGGTCAAGGGATAAGAAATAGATAAATCACAGGACATTACAAAAAGGCCAATTATTATGAAAAATGAAAGTTTCACTAGTAATCGAAGACATTCCTATTAAAATAATTAGGTCTTTTTGTACTATAAGATTGGCAAAATTTTAAATAAAATTCAGTTACAGTGGGTGTGGGAGAAATGTGTACTTTTATTTACTAATATTGGGCAACATAACAAGACCCTTTCTCTACATAAATAAAATAAAATAAAATAAAATAAAATAGTACTAAATGTATCTCTGTACTACTGCCTAAAAAAAAAAAGAAAAACAGTACTAGAGTTGTGGTGGTATGCACCTGTGGTCCTGGCTGCTTGGGAGGGTAAGGCAGGAGGATAGCTTGAGGCCATGCATTGGAGGTTGCAGTAAGTTATGCTCATGCCACTGCACTCTAGCCTGGGCAACAGAAAGAGACCCTGTCTCAAAAATAAAAATTAAAAATTTTTTTTTAATTAAAAAAAAAAAGAAATCCTGACAGTAACATTTAGATTTTAGTAACATTTAGATTTTATTTCATGATCACCAAAGTTTCTCAGTTTTCTTCTATATTTAAACAGATTCAAGGCTCACTGCTGATTTTTTCACAATGGGCCATACCTGAAGTTATTATATTACTGTTTCATTTTAATTATTTAGGGCAGACTTGATTTTATCATCAAGCAGTATTTGTCAAGAGAATATCAGGAGTGCTATATTCCTTGAGCTCTTACATGTGAGAGAACATCTGCTTGCTTCCTGTGTATTTGATTAACAACTTGGTTGGCACAGCAGAGACTGCTAATCAACTTACATTATTCTATTACCCCATTGTCTTCTTAAAACATTTTGCTGGCACATGGTTGCCTAAAATAAAAACCTTTCCTAATCTTTCTTGCAACCAGGTGTGGCCAAGACTATGTTCTAGTCCAGACACAAGCAGAAGTGTTGGGTAAAACTTCTACTTGGGGAAAGCCCTTTTTTTCTTTTCGCCTTCTCATTACCTGCTCTCTCCAATGCTATTTTAAAGGCTGTCTCTCCAGCAGCCACCATGAACAGTGACAATGAGACTAGAAGCCAGGTGTATTCAAAGATAGGAAAGAACCTGGGTTGACTTTGGTGAAGCTACTGTACCAGTTCTGGATTGACTACTTCCATACTTCTTGTACTCAAGATAACAAATCCTTACAGTTTAATCCAGTTATTAGTAGCCAAACCAAATCTAACAGATATTTGGGCATAATACTTTTAGTTCACAGGCTCTTTCCAAC